CCAGGACTTCTACATCCTTCTACTGATTATGTAACCTTTCTCCTCTTCCAATTATCTTTTTTCCTCGTTTCTTTCACCTAACATACTTTCTTACTTTTTGGTATCATTAGGTGACCTCACCTCAGTGTTTTGCAAAAAAAAGGATGTCTGATCAATACAAGTTTATGTTTCTTATACCATATATATAAAACTTATCTACTCATGTTTTACTCCTTCCACACTTCCTCTTCTGAAATAGAAATGGCTCAGTGATTGCAGAATGAATCAGCTACTTCAGATATAGAAGGGCAATGAATGCACACAGTTTAGCTTGCATTACCCGATCAGTCACTGACACTAAGAAGGCAGTGTTAATTCATTACAGAGCAATGGATAAAACTGGAGGAAACAGACTTTACCCTGTGACATGATACTAACTCAAAGAGTTTTATGCATTCTTATTTCATTTGTACTAGAAAACTTTCAGAAGGCTCTGCTTAGGATATATTTGAAGACATTAACTACCTGTTCATGTCACATTTTAAAATTGCAGAGCCAATTGTTAAGGGTCTGGTAGTGTCACCTAATATTGTTAGCTGTACAAATAGCACAGTGGTCATATAGTTGGATACATCCTACTGTTTGTGTACTTACAAGGTCAAATACAAAAGATATTTATATAATTATATAAAAGCAATTGGAAACAGTTTTAAAATATCACTTATGAAATATTAACTTCATAAACTACTAGGAAAAGATAACAACATACAAAAACTACATACTGAAAAATACAAAACTCTGAAGAGTAAAAGACTAAGAAATAGAGCATTACATTTCCCACATGTAACTAAATGGGAATTAAGAATTCCAATTGAAGGAACAGGATGATTGAAGATGAAATGTTGATTTTAGTATCTGGAGTTCAAAGTACTCAGAAACTTTAATTTTAAAATAAATGTTCTAAATTGATAGTCACCTTATCTATGGTTTCATAATTTTTGAGGTGCTTTATATTTTTTAATGCAAGTAATACTGTTCTATTTGAAACTAAATACCTTAAAATAGAGATGACATTTGATATCTTGTATCTTTCATTTTGTATAAATTCAGGGTGATTTTAATCCATAATAATTGTATAGAAATTTTTTTATAAAGGGAGAGAAAGGTAATTCAATCTAACATAAGCTCACTGATTTTTGCCATGCTTGTGCATTGTCTCTTCGGTGGTGTCTGGAGTGGGGGAGCTCCTCCGCACGCCCTCTTAGAGTGGCCCGACAGGTGGGCACTAAGGTAGCAGGAAGGGGAGGGAAGGGAAGAGGAAGAGCATGATTGCCATTGGCCAAACCACGCCCATCTGGCCATGCCCTGGACCACGCTCTTGCTGCCAAACCTCGCCCCATGGAAAAGAGGAGAGTGAGCTGGGAGAGATTAAAATACAGGGTGGAAAGGGTGAAGGGAGAGCCGGGAATGAGGAAAAAATAAGAACCAAGATACATCATGTAAAGGTACAAGATCCCAATGATGAATGTAACTGTATTGTATACCTAACATGTACCAATAAAAAAAATACAGGGTCGTGTAGCATTCATTCGAATCAGAACAAAAGTGGTGCTCAGTTTAATAGATTCTTCCTAAATTTATCAGGATTCTCAGAAAAACTGCCAAACCTTTCCTTACACTGAGCCATGCCTATCTCAGAGGAGAAAACATGCTCTATGATGACTCCTCCACAAAACCCGACACTTCCTGTCACGGGAACAGATTTTCCTAAGAACAGTGGGGTGCCTATCTGTTTCCGGGTCTCAATCCCATCTTGAGGGGACTGATGGAGCAGGTGATGATGAGGGCAGAGGCATAGGGGCCTCTGCCTTGGATAGGGAAGAAGACATGGTAATAGCGAGAGGAGCTATCATTTAAATGGGGAGGAAGTGCAGTGCCCACAGCAGGTGCTGTAGGCCCATACTTGGTAGGAGGGAGATGTGGGCATAACCAGTGAGGCCCCTGTACAAAGCAGGATTCTGTGTCAGTTCTGAAAAACAGAATATAAGGGACATCTCCGAATTTCTTTTCCCTTTTACAGAGTGGATCTAACTGAATCACTGTATTAAATTTATGGACTCATTCTGTAGCAAGAGTTCTTGGTTTTCCAATTTATACTGAGGACGGACTGTAATGCAGGAAATCAGATTTTTTTCTTTAAAATATTGCCCTTAAATCTGTCTGAATTGTCCTAGTGGTAAGTCCTTTGGAATATTCTCTGTGTCTCCCATGTTTGATAGGACTCTTATCAGATTAGTGTAAAATGTTAAAAAAAAACCCTGGACTTGTTACCCTTTTTCCCACTATCTAGAATAAGAGAGCTACAGCAACCAAATACAAAATCAAAAGCTTTCTCATAGGACTTACTCTTAATACCTTTAAGAAGAATAGCAGTACCAGACAGAATCATGAGAAAGAAAGTAAGAGCAGACTAGACAATAATAGTCAGCACGCCAAAGAAACCTCAGAGCCAATGTTTTCCCAGACAAAAACAAATGGCAGCAAATCACCTACAGAGACAGAATAGCAACACGGAGTGGACAGTAGTATATATCCAGCACAGGGAAGTCTGAGGAACTCACACACCCCACCCAGAAACCTGCTTCCAATAGGAAAAGAAGCAATGCTCCCAGGAACCAACAAAGCCATAAGGCCCAATATCCTGAACACATGTGCTAAGAAAAGCCACAGGCTGCTATCATGAGAACTACAGAAGAGCAACATGTCTAGTACTAAATTTACTGGGAAATCAAACAGGGTCTGCCACTCCACTGTGGAAATCTACCTATGATGGCTGTGTTAGTTACTTTTCTCTTATTACTGAGACAAAGTACCCGACACCCAAAGTTAAAGGAGGAAAGGTTTATTTAGCTCACAGTTTGTATAGCTTTCAAAGTCCACAATTTGAATAGGTTTCCCAATCCATAATTGGCTAGGTCCAAGGCAGGGTGGCACATGGCAGAGGGGCACCCATTCATGGTGGTGGAAACAGCAAAAGCAACAAGGGACCTGAACAATGTCTTCCCAACACTTTATACTCTATTTAGGGCACTGCAATTAGGGCAGTGCCAAACCAATCAGTGGACTGATTTGGTAATCACACACCCTTAATCCCAGCATCACACTCTAGATTCAGCCACCTCTGAACAAGCCCCATCTACGACTGCATGAGGCTTTGGGGAGAAGTTTAGACAGAACCATAATAAAGGAAAAATGCTAACTACTCCTTCCAGTAGTGCTGACACGTGAGCAGGGCTGGTGGCCTCAACCCACCGTGTAGTGTGGGTGTCTCTAGTGCACTGAAGTCAGATTGTTTTCAAATAACTGAGGTACACATTAATGTTTATACTATACTAAAAATACGAAACTTATCTGCCCATATTTTTTCTTTGATTCACATGAGTGCAAGTGATGTTACCCATCCTTATCTGTATAGATCTCATGCCCACATGTACCAAGCTGTTTACACAAAAGTTAGTTGGATATTGTGGACTCAGAGGAGAACTCAGCTTCTCTTAGCATCAAATTAAGGTTATGCTCTTGAGGAAGAAAGAATATTTTAATTAGTTATTTAGAATGGTTTTTAAAATCCTCAAGGGACTATATAAAGAATACAGTATAAATCTCCCCACTTTCTCTGTACAAATTATGGTGAGACAATATTTATAGGTAGGTTACAATCTGCATTTGTTAAGTAAAAATAAATCTTGGGTTTTATGGAGATTAGTATCTTACTAATGTGGGAAAATATTTTTATTTATTGCTCTTTTCTAGTCAAGTGATGATATTTTTTGATCCTCCAAAAACCCATTATTGTATGAAACCCTTATGATGAATATGAGAAAATCAAATAATGAAGACCTAGTACTTTACACTCATATGAAACTTCCTTTAAAAAACTGGGAGAGTGGGATCAGGTTGGTACAGAAGCCACATTTACATATCTGTGCTTTTTAAAACAAAAATTCCATTAGTGGGTTAATGACACCAAAAAATGGGAATTAAACCACCACAGATGTGTGCCTTGCTCATAAACTGTTCAAATGCTTCCATCCCGAGAAGGATTTCTGCCATCTAAAACATTCCACCATCATTTAACTTCATAGTGCTTGCTTTATCTGAAGTTATATGTGTAGCTTTGCCTATGAGCTTCATATCTCTTCCCTCTACACTGCAAAGTAAGCTGGGTGAGGATGCAGAATTTATTTATTGCTGTCTTCATGTGCTACAATAGAACTATTTCAGTCTTGGGGGGGTACATGAATAAATACTGTATGCAGATATATAGCTCCTAAGCAGCGAGAACAATTCTAGATTTGATATAGTTTTAGTTATGTACTGAGAGATAAATTTCAGAACTGTGGTTTGCTGCAAAAGCAGTGAATAGAGATAACTTTTGGCCTTTAGTGGAGTCTGTCACTGAAGGTTCATCTTTTATTCTGTGCCTAGAACATAGGATATCACAGCAGAAGGAACCAGGGAAAGATAAACTATGTGATTTATCTACATTGAAGATGTAAACAATTCGCTGATGTGCATGTCTTATTTTCTTAACTTTTACATTATTTTTCCCATGAAATTTGGGGCAAACAGCAAATTCACAGAGTACTAAAAAAGAGAGATATAAATGGGAGAATGTACATGAAAATGAACTATATATTTATATTATTCATACAAATATTTGGGAGAAAAGAGTGTATGGGTGCCCGTATTTGAGATAAAGACCAGAAGGATGACAGAGAGCACTTGCAGGAACAAACCCCCTGTGACGAATGTGATCTTTATCTACAACTAAAATGAACCAATAAAATTAATTTTAAAAAATGGGAGAGAAAGACTGATGCCTCTGTTGAAAAAAGAAAAAAGTCTCACAGATAAATAGACAAGTTAGTGAACAGGAGATCAAATAAGATAAATGCAGAATTGAGAAATAAAGAACTTTTCATGTCCTCTGTCACTTTCGGTTTTCAAGGGATAGGAAAATGCCCTCCCGGAACCACACCCCAGCAATGGGGTTCATCCTCCTGGGCCTCACAGACGACCCTGTGCTGGAGGAGCTGCTCTTCACCGTGTTCCTGCTGGTCTACCTGCTCACGCTGGCAGGAAATCTGTGCATGATCCTGCTCATCAGGACCAGCGCCCACCTCCAGACCCCCATGTACTTCTTCCTCGGCCACCTCTCCTTCGTGGACATTTGCTACTCTTCCAACATCACTCCAAACATGCTGCACAGTTTCCTCTCTGGGCACAAGAGCATCTCCTGGGCAGGCTGCTTCATGCAGTGCCTTCTCTTCATCGCCCTGGTCATCACCGAGTTCTTCCTCCTGGCAGCCATGGCCCTGGACCGCTATGTGGCCATCTGCAGCCCTCTGCACTACAGTAGCAGAATGTCCAGGGCCATCTGCGTCTCCCTGGTCTCCTTCCCCTATCTCTTCGGCTTCCTCAACGGCCTCTCTCAGGCCCTGCTGACTTTCCGTTTGTCCTTCTGCGGCTCCCTGGAGATCAATCACTTCTACTGTGCGGACCCTCCTCTCCTGCTGCTGGCCTGCTCTGACACCCGCGTCAAAGAGATGGCCATGTTCGTCATTGCCGGCTTCACTCTGTCCAGCTCTCTCTCCATCATTCTTCTGTCCTACGTTTTCATTTTTGCAGCCATCCTGAGGATGCGTTCTGCAGAAGGCAGGCACAAAGCCTTTTCCACTTGTGGTTCCCACCTGACCACGGTCACCATCTTTTATGGGACCCTGTTCTGCATGTACTTAAGACCTCTGTCAGAGAAGTCTATGGCAGAGTCTAAAGTGATTGCAGTGTTTTATGCTTTTTTGAGCCCAATGCTGAACCCGTTGATCTATAGCCTAAGGAACAAGGATGTGATCCGGGCCATGCAGCACTTGGTCAGAGGAAAGTTTTTTTCAAAAAATTGCAGTTTAGTGTGTGTTGTGGACTTGTAACCACTGAGTGTCCTGATGATGATGTGAATTCATAGTGATAAAATGAGTACTCTGGGATCAGGACTTGTTTATCATCCTGAACTCTCACTGGAAATTGTATTCATTTACTCTTGAAAATAGAATGTTGAAGGGAAATTTTTTTATTTTTTATTAAAAAAAATTTTTTTGGTATTCTTTTTTGGGGATCAAACTCGGGACCTTGCACTTGCGAGGCAGGCACTGGAACCACTGAGCTAAATCCCCTGCCCAAGGGAAAATATTTTAATAGAAGCTGCTATATTGGATTTGTAAAATTTATTTTTGTAAAGAAATCCCAAATAGTCACATTATTATGTTAGAATTTCATTCAATAAGTCCATCTAGATGTTGTGATAAAAATCTGTGAATATTTAAGTTTTAAAAATTTATTACAGCAGAAGAAACATTACAGTTCTTCCCCATCAGCATAGCTCTCTTGCTCAGGGCCAACTTCCCATCTTTCTTGCCACCTTCTGAAACTGTTCTGAAAGTCACCTTTTGAGAAGCTTTTACTACAAGTTGTGAAGAAAAATATGGTGAATGCTGCTGCTCCCAAGCGTTATCCCATAAAAACGTAGGCTTCTAGAAATATTAACAGTGGTATTTATGTTTTTATATTTATGCATTCATAACTAGGAAAGTTCCCAATGACTGACTGGTACTTTAATTTATTGATTTTTCCAGGAAGAACATAGCATATAATTTTTGGATATCAATTTAACATAATATACTTTTCTATTTCATCATTTCACTTTAAGGATATGTTGACATGTTAAGAAATGTGCTTATTTCCATAGACATATTAGTTCTGCAACGCAGGTGCCTTCTCTTTCCGTAACAATGTTGGGCTTTGTGTTCTGTGCTGGAAACACACCCTTGCTCTGCACACTTGTCAGTGACCAGAGGATCACACAGGAGTGATTCATTCATCAGCTGATAAAACACAGTCCCCTCCCTAGCAGAGGAGGTTCTGGCCCTGAAGCATGAGAATACCAGTAGAGTTGCAGTGCTGGGATCACAGAGAGGACCACTGTTACCCAGGGACACCCTCTTGCATTAAAATGCCATGCAGCCATTAAAGTGAAGACATTCTCACGAGAGAAAGAACACGTCATGAAAACAGAAGGGAAAAGTAATATATACATTATGAAAACTTATAAAGTATAAGGACTGAGGAAGTGTAAAAATATTTTCTTTATATGTATATCCACATTTTTCATAAGAATTACTGTTATCACAACCAAGAAAACAAGCAATCACAAATAACATATTTCTAATATATTCTAAATCAGAAGATATAAACCAAATGTTCTTTGTTAATATTGGAATTTAAACATGTAAGTCGGAAAAAACAAATTCAAAACCTGATCTGTATCATTTAACTACTTGTCACCCACATACCTTCCAATTTAAGCTCCTCTATTTTTTTCTTCTTAAAAATGTTGCATTTCTGAATAAAGCTCTTTAGGGGTTGAAAAGCTATGTTTTGTGGGGTTTTCTTTTTTTGTTTGGATTTGTAGGGTTGGAACCAACAATGCCAATACCCTATCTACCATGTTTAAACATGGAGAAAAACTTGAATTTATGCTGTAAACCACTTTTCTAGAGGAAGTTCCTACAAATAAAGAATTTAAAAATAGTTTTGCTTGAGAGAAAATATCAACATCACCTTTGCCTCCACTTTATGACATGGCAAAAAAGTGAAAAGAATGAAAGCCGAGTTTCCATAAAGTATACCTGGTGCACAAATCCTGTCCAGCTAGACTTTGTATGCACTACACGTAGACACACACAGAATGATTGTGCACATTCTTCATGGAATAGAGGATGCAGGAAACTGGGATATCTAATTGGTGGTGGAGATTTTACACATCACGATATACACACATAAATTTAAAAGGAAGTAATAAAACTATGAAAATTCATCAGAAGCAATAACTTATACAGTAAAGATCTTGTTAAAATTGGGAAAAATTGCCTAAAGATTAAAAGATGGTGATACACAAAAATGTTTTATATCAATATTACATTACATTATGCACTTAAAGGAACAGATTTCAAAAGAATCATGTAATCCAGAGCGTATTTATGCTATAATTTAGTTGTGAAGCACTAAAATCACTTTTCAAGGGTATTATAAATGGCAGAGAAATATGTAAAATTATGTAACAAATAGTTACTAATAATGGTGTAGTGACAACATGATATTAATCTCCTCTGGAAAAATGGAACAAACTAATTTGGGAATTAGTAGCTCCCATTAAGAAGACAATTACTTTGATTAAAGAAAATTAATGAAGCAAATCACAGGCTCATAAAAATATGTGAAATATTTCTTTCTATGTTTAAATAATAAAACCCATATGCTTTTCAATTCAACATAAGTGGACATAAAATAGCAGAAAAGTAAAGTATAAAAAAATCAGCAATTATCAGTATAAGCATCATTTGGAAGAAAATAAAATTTTACTGAAGAAAATTGTACAACATATGTATGAATGGAAACCATTTTCTTATTCAGGGAATATTTTGCAAATCCCTTTGCTTTGCTCATCAACGTAGGTCAGAGACACTCAGTATTGATGAGCTAGGGAGAGAAAGGAAGACCTTGTCTGCCAACTATCTCAGTAGAAATTGGAAGCACACAGCACTGCTGAACTGGAAAGGTTGAGCTATTCCGCTGTTTATGGTCAATCTTCATTCCAGTGATCACATTCACTATTTCATCAGACTGTTTTTGATCTCACACTAATCTGATACAAAGATATACTGTTTCTATCCCAGAGAATTCCATTCACTTAGAATAAACGAGGGACACTTGTTGATTCTTTTAAGATTTCCTTTTCTTACTTCAGTGGGAGACTGTAGATACTGAAGTTTTCTCCACTTTACTAAGGCTCCTAATAAACACTCCTCTCAAAGCCTGCTTCACATCCTTGTTGCTCAGGCTGTAGATAAATGGGTTCAGCATGGGGCTCACAAAAATACAAAACACTGCCACGATTTTCCCCTGCTCAACAGACTGCTTATTGGCTCATCTCAGATACATGCAGAAGAGGGGCCCATAGAACATGGAACCCGCTGTCAGATGAGAGCCACAGGTGGAGATGGCTTTGCACTGCCCTTTACTGGAACAGATCCTCAGGATAGTGATGAAGATGAAGACATAGGAGGTGAGGATGAAGAGCAGGGAACCTGTGAGGTTCAGCCCTGCTGACACAAACAGGGCAGTTTGCTTTACGTAAGTGTTGGAACGCATCAGCATTAAGAGTGGGGGGTCAGCACAGTAGAAATGGTTGATGGTGTTGGGTCCACAGAAGGACAGTTGAGAGGTCAGTATCACCTGCATGGTGCCCACTGTGGAGCCCCAGAGGTAGGGCAAGGTGACCAGGCAGAGGCAGATGGGCCTGGACATCTTGCTGCTGTAATGGAGGGGGTTGCAGATGGCCATGTACCTGTCATAGGCCATGGCACTGAGCATGTAATACTCAGTGAGGATCAGAGTCACAAACACAAAACACTGGGTCAGACACCCGGTGTAGGAGATGGTCTTCCTCTCAGATAAGAAATTGAGCAGCATCTGTGGGGAGAAGTTAGTGGAATAGAAAATATCTACACATGCCAAGTGGGTGAGAAAAAAATACATGGGGGTTTGCAGCCTGGGAGTGAGTCTGATCAGAAAAATCATCCCAAAGTTTCCGGTGAGGGTGATGAGGTAAATTAGAAGAAACACCACAAAGAGAACAGGCTGCAGCTCCGGCTGGCTTATCAGTCCTAGCGGAATGAATTCAGTAGTTTCCTTGCCATTGCGTTTGGGATCTATCTTCACCCACATAGTCCCTAACAAAAACAAAATGAAGGTGTCAAGAAGAAAAAGAGAAACAAATTATGAACAATCTGAGAAGAGCTCAACTCAATGTGCAGCGATACAAACTGATTTTGAGAAAGAGGCTCATAGAGGTCATTTCCGTCAGACACGGAAGTCTCCATAGATACCGGAAGTGATTTGTGTCTATTAAAGCAGGAGGTAGGAGGGATTTTGGAGTTTTACATAAGCCTTACCTCCCATTTTGCAATTCTCACCTGGACACTGCTAATACATTAATTTTGCTCCTTATCGTCCCAACTGGACCATTGGTTCAAGACCCCTGTCGTCAAACTTGGGTACTGCCATAGTTTGAGAAGAGAATGTGGCCTATGGGTGATTGTAGACCTGTTTTATTGTCACCAGTAGGGCAAATTCTTTGTATATCAGGAGATCACATATTGCTTGAGAATCTGTTGTATACACATTCAGGTTCCATTTCTTCCTCATTTCTTACATATTTTCCAATAGCAAAGAACATCTCCTAGTTCCTTGGTTTTCTGTTTATTCCAATTCATTTTTTTCCCCAAAGGAACAACTACACATTCACTTAAATAAATTCTTTCTTGTCTCACAACACATTTTATGTCACAATAGCCCAATGTTTTCATATTCCATAATTATATTTCAACTTATCTCATGTCTTTAACTTCACCTCTTATATCTGAACCATGAGGAATTTTTGTCAAGCATGGTTTCTAAAAGTTACGTAGTGAGTATTAAAACTGCATAGCAGTTTCTTCACTACTGATCAGAGCTTAAAAAAAAATTACCCACATATCTAACCTATCTCAGTGGGTTTTCTGCTTCTACACTTAGAATCCTCTACTCCTTAGCACTAACTAGTAATCATTTATGAAAACAAAGCACATTATATTTCTGACTTTGTAAAATGGCCCAAGGTTTGCCATCACGCTCCTGCTAAATGTAAACATTTTACCGGGGACCTATATGGTGTCTTTCTACCCTGCTCTCCAAAATCTGCAATTCATATCTTCTTGTCCTGCCACTTTGGCCTTCTGGTTGTTCCTTGAATATGCTGAGCACACTCGCACTTAGTGTCCTTGCAGGTGATGGTCCCTCTGCCCTAAATATTCTATCCCCAGAGCTTTGAGTGATTTGTGAAGGTAAAATAACAACTGCACTTTAAACTAAGAACAAATAAATTATTCTGAGCCAAATATGAATGATCATGGCTTGGGAACACAAGTTCAAGTTACATCAAATAATATGTTCTATGTGATTTTTATGTGATGATCTTAAACCAATGACTTCAGGTAAAAGATGGTGGATGCATTATGCAGACACCCTGCATCAACACAGGGAAATCTCTGCTCTAGGGTTCATAGGTTGTTTTGCAGTATTTTTAGCTACAGGTTTGCTGGACATTAGGAGTAGGCTAAGCTTCAAAGTAGACTCAGAGGATTACCTAAAAGTCTTGAGACTGTCTGGCCAGCTGCAATGGTTAGAAATACCTGGCCACTTTTCATAAAGGCCTGAGATAGACTAAAGTAATTCTGGCTTTGGAAGTACACCTTCTCACAATCGATATCTACTGTCTACTCCAGGTCAAGCTGCCTGCAAGGTCTTTACACATCTTTATAGATGTGCCTTCTTCAAAGAGATTCAACTTCACAGACACATTTACTCACTTCAGATCTTTCTTCTAATAATGCTTCCTCTGAAACAGGCACTTCGGGGTGCTTATCTAAGTTACTTCCATTCCAATAACTCCTTCATCATGAACCATAATCTATTTTGCCTCCTGCCATTTAATGCTTCTGAAATTATTTATATGTTGGCAATCCCCTCCAAATGTTAGCTATATCCCTGCAGGAACTTTATTGATACCATATTTGCAGAACAAAGGAAGATGTCTGAATCAAAATATTCATTAATCATTAGTTGAATAAATTAATGAATCAATGATGTAACTTTTAAAATTCTCATCATCTTATTTTTCATGGAATGTAGATTTCTCATGGCTGTGATATTACCAATGGAATCTGAGTTACTATGAAAAACCCTGGCTACCTTGAGAAGAACATACAGGAGAAAACACAATTAGAGAAATTAGTTAGGGTACATTAAAATAATAAAACTGAAGCTAATGATGATTGACCTAAAGTCCAAGTAATGGGTTGTTAAATTGGTAGACTGAATTGCTGGAAGTTAGGTAAAAGTTGATCCTAGACTGCAAGAGAGAAATTCCTTTCATTACTACCACAAAATGTATAAGTACAAGAGAACAGAAACAATTCACATCTCCTAAAGTATATCTAGCATATGGTTTTACTAAAATTATTTATTCACATTTGCATCAGTGGTTATCAACCCAGACTTTATATTAGAACCAGGTGTAAAGCTTTTAAAAACAATGACTAGGAGTCTCAGCCCCAGGTAGGCAGAATATACACATTGCTATGATATTTTAAGTATATTTCCATTTCACTGTAATTCACAACAAACAACCAACAATTGAACTAGACAATTTAAATAACTAATGAAGCAGGCTTTCTCAATAAAAAATTCAGGTGATTTTACATTCTGGTTACATGCATTATTCCCTTATTATGGATTATTGAAATATTTTCATAAGGCTGCCGAAGTATAAATCTCACTGTCATCAATGCACATGAAATTTTTCTCCATAACTTCAGAAGTAGAAAAAACCCTAAGCCTCAGATTTTAGTCCTTATAGTATACTGTTGGCTCAAGAAAGCTTGGAAAGGGAATATAAGCTTCTCTACAACCTTACCTCAAGTTTTGCTGCACTCATGAAAAAGGAGGAAAGGAAAGAAAACATTTGTATCAACCACCACATTATCCTTTACTCTTATTTCATGCAGCCCAGGGTTTGATTTGTGTGATACACATGGAGAAACCCCAATTATGAAAGTAGAATTTGATCTAATTATGTTTCACATTAGAAGCTGATGAGAGGCCCGGAAGAGAAGGACTATTTTTTACCCTTCCCACTAAAATGTTCATACTTTTAAAAATGTGTATGTTTCATGGCTAAAGATGTCTAAGAATGTTTCAGTATCACATCGTATGCCATCAGCCACAGTGCCTTGAGCTGCCAACAGATGGACACACTCCTTATTGTTAAGATCCCTTCTCTTTAGTTAATGGGGCTCCTTTGTTTCAAGAGAGAGATAATGCCATGCCTGCCTGGCAAGTGTAAAGTCCTGAGTTCGATTCTTGGTACCAGAAAAAAAAAAGGAGAAATATGAATGAGAAAATGGGAGGAAGAACACCATCCCAATAAATGATAGTAATTCAGTTATGAAATCATTTTCAATTTAGGTAATAGAATTATTGAAGATAATTCTAAGCATTCTTAGTGTAGGAAAGAATTAACACTGTGTACACTGCAGGGGGAAACAGCAATTTTAATCCTTATACAGTCTTTTCCGAGAAGGTTGTTGACTCACGCTGACAGATCAACACAGTCTGTAGCAGTATTGACAAAGGACGCACAAAGCATAGTGTACTCCTCAGGATCGGTCAAAGTTACTGGCTTTGATGACCATGGGCACCACTTTGTCATCATTTTTCAGTGAAATTTGAAATGGACAGAAACCCAAGAGAAGCTCTTTGAAGTGAGGGAGCAGATGGGTGCGTCATTATTTCCCTCTCTCCTTTTGTCTTACACTGATATTTAACCAAATGTGTTGACACTTTTGTCTCAGTGGAGATTGTATGAAATCATTAAAGGCTTACGAATTGGGAATACATCCTGTACCAAATTGTAAATTTTTCAGTTTGGAGAAGTAAACAGTTAATTAAAAAATGTACAATGTATGGACTGTTTGAAATCCAGGAGCTGGCTAGAGCTCAGCATGAAAGGCCAATCTAAATTTTATCTGAGTTGGGAGTAATGGATCCATGAATAAGCCTGGGATGATTGTAGTACCTGTCTCACCTCCTGACTCAGCGATAGTTACTTCTCTTTGTTGAGATCCGGGGACTGCTCCTGATAATGTTTTCTTTCTGTGACTATTGTAATGGTCGCTACAAATTCTGTTTTCATTGCAAAGAAGAAAACAACAAAAATGAAGCCCAATTTCTTAAGAACTCGTGAATTTCAGAACTTACCTGTGGAAGGATATTGATGTCTTTCCTTGCTAAAGTTTCTCAAAGTGGGAGCATTTTTACCTGAAGCGTTAGCCTTGAAATACTCATCCCTGATGAAGTAATCAAGCAATTGCCCAGGGGATACCTTCAAGGGCTCCCAGTGGAGGTGTTGACAAAGGCACAGTCACCAATAATGTGTTAATTTATGAAGTCATCAATAGTTGTATGTGTTGTATTTTGGTAAAAGCAAAGATACTGGTACTCATTTTTATGTTGAGATTATTCTAGGGCAGATGAAAAGATATTCTATTTTCTATAATCAGAAGACCATTGGGATAACTCAACTTGAATAGTGTTTTCTTCTTCTAAAGTCCCTTAGAGGTTTCCTCTGCACTTCTTTTGCATTAGTTGTTGCCTTCTATAACTTGTGTATGTCCTTCGTGGAATTGTAAAATGCTCTGAGAACAAAAGGAATGTCAGTTTCATCTTGATGTCCTCCTTGGAGATCTGCACATCCAGGTGGACACTTCCTGGAAGACTTGCTGGATGAATATCTGAATGCTGATAATCAGTTTAAGTGAGAACAAATTGACTAGCAAGTGGTGTAATTAGTTCATAAAATGAACTATTATAGACTACTTACATAAAATGTGTGGATGATACATACTTATTAGTTTACATAATACTCTCCCACATTTGCATTTGAAATCAAATAACACCCTAGTATTCCTTGGTTAGACTCACAATCAATTATGAATGACAACAATATAATAAAAATATGCTATGACTAACATACAGCACAATATAATCATCCTTTCTTGAACTAAATTCGTCATTAATCCTTTACATTAAAAAATTAGATTACATCAGAAAGAAATAAAACAACAGCTAGCAGTTTATTTTTAAATTTTTTTTAACAGTTTAACAATTTAACATAGGCATATTAATAACTAGAGAGAAAAAAGCAGGGAAATCTATGACTTTCCACAATGTTTCAAAGTCAACTTGTCTCAGTCTTTCAGCCTTCTGCTTTGGCTATAAACTGATTTGTTGGGCAAACAAAGCAAACTAATCCTTGGGCTCGGTTTCTTTAAGCAGTTCCTATGTGTGTCTGTATCAATATTCCCACTGTTTCTTTAGTTTTCATGTGTTATGGGTGATTACTTATATTTCTAGATTACCAACAAATTTCCAAAATTCATGTAGGAGTAAGATGGTGCCTAGGATATTGTGACTGGGATGTGCTATATGAGTGCAGTTAAATTCTCATGAGCTGACAGTCTAGGCAAGTTCTGAACACACAGAGGGGCCAAACCTAAAGGAGGTTTGTACTTCCTGTGAAAACCAGGATGCAAATCTGTTGGCTATGAAAATTGGCAGAGTGTAGGTGGCCAAAAAAGAGAATTGGCCTTGAGGTGCACTGTGTATGGTGAACGAGAGCAGAGGAAGCAATTAGACCCAGAGTAGCACAGGTATAGGGAGAGCCATAAGGCTTCATTCCACCCCACAGAGCTGGCTCAACCATCAAAGAAGAGGAAACATTGAAATATCAATGGCTTGAGAGGACAATGAGCCCAGAGAGATTATTTAAACCACTGCTATCTCTAAATTCAAAGCTACTCTTAAAGGAAAGTGAGAGTTCACATGTTCAAGTAACATGTAATTATGTCTTGATGTAATGACCTAGGTAATACAATAATTCAACTTATTTATCATAATTTTTAATAAACAGATAAGGGAAAACAGGCAAAAATTTATGTACCAGTTGCCATGAACATTCAAAGAATAAACAAAAGCACTTGACAAGATTGTCAGAATTCCTACACATGGTTTTAATTGGGTTCTGAATATGCTTTTCAGCCTAATTGTGTGTTTGAAATGGGTAAAGCACTGTGTGGTGGCATTATAGTATCTTAGATTAGGCAGCAATTAATTAGTCATGAAGCCACACTACTGCCAAATATTCATCCATGACATTAGTTATAAGAAACCGTTTTAAAGTGTGATATGAATGTTTTTACACTTAAAATAATAAAATGTTTGTTAGAGTATTTTGTATATGAGTTATGCAACTTTGAATTAAGTTTCCTACAACTCTCACATACTGCCTGCCTATAAAACCGGCACCATGGATGATGCCAAAACCTGCTGTCAGCTCGAGTAGTAGCCAGGGGATCTTGGATCATGGCTGATGAAGTCTCTGATGGCCTGGATGGCTGAACTCTGGGAAACAGTTCCTTCTTTGGCCCCAAAATAGCAGAGAAAACTGTGGATCCCTTTTCAAAGAAACAGCCTTCACTTTTGGAGGGTAAAGGGTAGAGTCTTTTTATTCTCCAGTAACACACTCAAGGCATTCTTTCAATTGTCCTGATGAAAAGTATTTGTCTTCTTTTAATGCTAATATTTTCAGGAACCAAGCTTTCTTGGTCCAAAATTATATTGGCCCCAATTTTAAAGGCTTTTCCTTTCTGGACACTAGCAAAAATTTTCAAATTACTTGACTTGGGTTTTTACTTTTGCTTCTCAGAGTAGAAATGGCTAAAAGCTGCTGGCCATGGCCATCAAAAAATCATCAACAATAGGTTCCTTTGGCATTTCCATTACTAGATTAATTAGTATGCAACTTTTAATCTTGATCTATTCTAAAGTCTACAAAATGTAGACAAATTTTCTGCCAGAGCATAAAACATATGGCTTGACATCCAAGTGCCAATGGCGATTTTCTCCTAGCTGAAACTCCTGAGCCTGCTCTTTACTGTCTGGATTTTTGTCAGCATTCTTGTCTTCTGAGCTCCAAAAAGTATCTTCCTTTCAGCTTGGCTAACAGCATTCTACAACTAATATCTGGAAACCTTTTCAGAAATCTCCCACAAACCAGTTCCAAAGGCTTCTTAAGCACATGTAAAGTAGTCACAGTGAGGGCATTGCATCTCTGCTAACAAAATCTGTCTCCATCACTTTCCTCATCACTAGGACAACGTACAAGTGCAGGAGAAGGGTCTGGCAGAGAGAAGCTGCCAACAGCATTGCAGCCAGAGATCAGAGAGAAAGTGAGGAGCCCAGGAGAGAGCTACGGCCTTGCAGGGCACATCTCCAGTGACTCCCTTCTTCCAGCCAGACCCCAACTCCAAAAGCAAATAAACAATGGCACCCACTCAGTTCAATCCTCTTGTGAAAGCCCGACCTATGAGAGGATGAAGACCTTGAGAGATGTGTAGATACTACCACAACCGCATAAACCATGATTTTGTTTATATGAAATGTAAATTTAGCAAAATAATACTGACCTAACTATATATGGAAAAGAAACATTAAAGTCATATTAACTTTTATTACAGAAAATAAGGAAAAAAGAGCCGGGCAGGGAAAAGTCAGACTTATAATATCTGACTGTGTGAAATATGAGAAAGAAATAATGTTATGTAAAGACTTATAAAGGATTACTTGTGGTTACAAAAGGGGTCTTTCAACTTAGTTCTGTTTTTGTCTGTATGGTGGAAATAGTTCATTGTAAAATCTAGTAAGTCAAACTTTAAATCTAATTTCAAAATTATAGAACAATTTAATTTCAAAGGGAAATCCAGGAAAAATTACAATGAAATATAAATCATTTTAAATATGTAAAACTGATAATCTTTAATCTTTTAAAAGATACAAACAAAAAAAGAGATAAAATAAAAAGCATATGCTTATATATACATAAATAACAAAATAAAGTTTATATCTTTCAATGAATACAAAATATATCACAATGATAAAATAGACCAAGCAAAGGATGTGGTTTTTCACAAGAGAAATTTGAAAAGCAATAGGCAAAAATATTTAGTAATAAATTTCACAGATACACATAAATATCCATACATACATATGGCTAAAGCATCACATTTACTATATTTAATTAACAATACAGGAAATGGTAATGAACAAGTGGAGGAGAGGCTGCATACTGACAGAAAGACATACTCATAACAAACACAAAGCCATTCTGTGGGAAAGTTGGCATTTTCATCAAAATCCCATAAAGGAGAGCTCCACTGGATCACAAATATCATTTGAATGATATACCTTAGAATAATACACCAAAAATATTTTCATTGCTATATAATTTGAAAAGGAAACAAAAAAACTCATCAATTTTGATTTGTTTCTGGAGTATTATGCATATCTCATTAATTGTCATTCTGATATAATTTAGTACCAGTTTGCATGCTATGGGTGTGAGTACGTGTTCTTTATTGACTGTAGAGAACAATGGAAGGGCTTCTGCTCTTGGCTTTGAATTTGTATGCTTCTTTGAAAATACTCACTGACATAACCCTGTGAATGCTGAGTGTGTTCTGTGTAATGATACAGACGTGCAAGTCTCATATGTGTATAATGAAAGACCACCAATAATTAATAAGAGAAAGTGATTTGTTAATTTACAGTGTGTTGTAGTCAGGGTTTTGGCAAGGGAATACATTTATTACAGGACACATAGTTTCTAAGATTATTTTATGATAATTACACAGTCAAATGCAAAGGAGTACAAGAGATTAACTGCACACTAAAGTCTCAAAGAATCCAGCCAAGGGCTTAGGTCCCAGCAATATCCCACACAAGTCCAGCTAAAGGCTTAGAGCTCAACACAATGTCCTCCACGAGTCCAGCCAGTGGCCTAGAGCCCACGGCAATGTCTCATGCTTGTCCATATTGAGGATCTGCACTGGGAAGGCTCAAAGACCAGTGGTGGAAGCCAGAAAACCTACACTGGTGAGATGAAGGATTTGTGGCACTAAGCTGAAGGATCCATATGGAAGCCAGGAAGGATCAGCAGCCATTCCCAGAGACAGTGAGGCCCTGAGCTTCTCCTCTGAGGAGAACAGCAGGAAAACCATCCTCAACAAGCTTCTCCTAGTAAATCAATAGTTCAAGACCTTCCCCTCCAGTTCTGTTTTTATGGCTATGGGTAACAGTCCTCAGGTGGATCCTCCTTGCCCAGATGATGCTGATTCAATTCAGGTGGGCGTTACAAGTTGACCATCAGTTAATCCACTACACAGTGCTCATTAAATGCTTAGATAAAAAAGGATGCTCTATATATTTGAGACCATGTCTACTTTACTTAGCAAACAATTCCTTTTGGATAACTTTCCTTATTGCTCTTTTAACATCTTTGTTTCTCAGGCTATAGATCAGAGGGTTTAGCATTGGACTCACAAAGATATAAAACACAGCTACAATTTTACCTTGTTCTATAGATGTTTCAGAAGGGGGCCTCAGATACATGCAGAACAGTGACCCATAAAAGGTGGTGACAGCCGTCAGATGGGACCCGCAGGTGGAGAAGGCCTTGCGCCTGCCCTCAGCAGAGTGGATGCGCAGGATGGCTGCGAAGATGAACACGTAGGAGACGAGGATGATGCTGAGAGAGCAGGTGAGGTTGGAACCAGCCACCACAAACATGGCAGTTTCTTTAACATAAGTGTCTGAGCAGGCGAGGACCAGGAGCGGAGGATCAGCACAGTAGAAGTGGTTGATCTCATTGGGTCCACAGAAGGTCAGGTGAAGCATCAGGATGGTCTGGACCAACCCATTTGCAAAGCCATAAATGTAAGTGGCAGCAACAAGAGAGACACAGACACATCTAGACATTTTGTTGCCATATAACAAGGGCTGGCAGATGGCCACATAGCGGTCATACGCCATCACTGTCAGCATATAATAATCTGCGATCCCCAGTGTAATGAAAAATTGGAATTGGATAAAGCAGCCAATGAAGGAAATGATTTTCCTCTTGGATAAGAAATTCACCAGCATCTGAGGAGTGACAGTAGTTGCATAACAGAGATCTACAAAGGCGAGGTGGCTGAGGAAAAAGTACATGGGGGTGTGGAGCTTTGAGTCGCTTCTGATGAGGACAATCATGGTCATGTTGCCAATTATGGTGACAATGTAGATGACTAAGAAGACCACAAATAGGAGGGGCTGCAGCTCGGCTCGGTCTGTGAGTCCCAGCAGAATAAACTCGGTTACCACGGTGTAGTTCTGCTTCATCACTTTGTTTCTTTGGCTTTGAGTAAAGCCTAAAGAACAGGAAATAAAAGTACATCTGGCTTATGTCATTTATTCATTGTCCCCCTTGTGTTTTACATTTTTAGTATCCTCTCATATTCATAAAAGTGGCATAAACAATACCCAAATTAGAATATTATTAATGTCTCAAGTGTCACAAATAATACTGAGCCCCTTGCTTATATAAATGTAGTCATATTTTGAATTGATTGTCACTGTTGAGGGAAGTCTTTACATATTTGAAAAGTTCTTCATCATATTTGTTTAGTTATCACTGCATGTAGGTATAAACACTGGTTTTCTTTGAAGTTGACACATCCTCTGTGTTACAATACACTTTTGGTTGTGGGGTCCAAAGTATGAGCCATGGGAATTTACCTGTTTTGCTCAGCTGAGTGAATTTAAGGAACTGAAACTGAAATATGATGCATATCCATTTATGGCTAGGATCTTCTTTGTAACTTCTTAGAATCCAAAATCATTTTTTAACTGTTAACTAACTCTATATGTTTATTTGTCTCAGTCTAGTCCATATTAGGAGGTCCTCATACCGTGGAATCTTTGTTAACTTTTTTTTTTTTTTTGCTTAAATTCTTTTATTGGTACATTTTAGGTATACAATATGTTTACATTTATCATTGGGTGCTTGTACCTGTACATGATGTATCTTGGTTCTTATTTTTTCCCCATTACCTGTGCACCCTTCACCCCCTCCACACTTCCCTATTTACATGCTGAAAGTGTAAATAAGGATTAAAATGATTAAAATGAATAATTGATAATTTGCAATAGGAAACAAGGGTCCAAAGGGGTAGGGGAAGTGGGAATGGATGGGGAAAGGAAAGAAGGGAAAGGAAAAATTATGAGAAAAGAAAAAAATGGAAACAAAATCTTTGTTCACTTTTGAGACAATCACAGCATCTTTCATTTGTATTGTACATTATTACCCACATGGACAAGTATTTGGTTTGGAGACAAGAAAAATCAATCAGAAATGTTTGTATATATCATATATAATATAATATATATTATACATCAGACTGTATACAGTACATCAACAACATACATATAAACATATTATTGGTTTAAAATATTCATGAGTTGTAATTTTCAACTGAAAACATTATATATTAAACACTTCTAGTTGAAAGGGAGATGCAATAAAGAAAATTTTTGTCCATCGGTCCTCAGACCATAATCCTTTCCTGTAACTGAATCTCACGCAAACATTTTCAACATTCCAAACATTTTCAAAACTGCAATAACATAAACTTAATAGAGGCACCTTACAACATGAAACATAAGTTCTTTAGATCAGTGTCAAGTAATAATCACGTTAATTATATAGCTGAGATAGTACTTAAGATATGAAGCACATTTCTAAATATTTAGGCAAAAAAACATGAACATGGAGAACATGGAAAGTTAATATTCTTATCTGACAACAAATACCATTATGATGATATAATATTGATTCTTCTTTGATAACTAAAATGTAATGAATATAATATAATATTTTGGTGTTTTTTTATGAATCCAGGGAGATGAAACCTGGTTAATTATTGAGTGAAGCAGTTACTGGGAGCTTGCATTCCCACTTCCTAGGAAAAAATCTCACTCTCTCCAGTTTTAATTTGTATAACCTGTATAAATTATTAATACTTCGTGTCTCCTTATGTATACAGTGTGGTTAATAATAGAAACTGCTTCCCTGCAAGGGAGCTAAACTGAGGACATTTTTCAAATATGTCTGGCCTATCATGAGCACTTAAAAATTTGCAGACATTGGTATTATGCTGGAAGATGCAGGTCTGGTCTAGAACAAGAACACAGATTGGCAAGAATTGCACATAGTCTGCAGCCATAGACACAGAGGCACTAGGTGAGTGCTTCTGCCATTTGTCAATGGATGTAATGTGGACTTTGGTCTAGTTCCTTCTCCCTTATGGAAACTCCCACTCCACTGTACATTTACTTATGAGTAGCTTACTCAGAAAAGAACAGTAGCATTTTAATATGGATATTTGTTAACTCATTATGTTAGGATTCAGCTCAATTCACTTTTAATGATTAACATGTTTATTTCTGGTTTCCAAAATTTAAAGGAAATATTGCTTAGCCCACCTGAGAGAGGAGTAGGATTTCACAATGGAAACATCTGCAGGACAAACAAGAAGGATTTATAACATATTTGTCTTACAGGGAACAAATCTCTATGGTTCATTTATTTTCTGCAGAAAGTACTTACACAGTGAACCACTGCTACCTCCCTTTACTTAAAATGCTAAACCCATTGAGGAAAGGAGTTTTGTTTCCGTCTCACTGTCATCAGGGAATCAAATCTCCAAAGAATGATGAAGCAATGGAACTCATTATTATTTTGCTTTATGCTGAATATCTTAATATTTTGAATGAGGGAAATGTTAGTTTTTATTTTTTACAAGCTGTAAAATAAAACAGTGATGCTGCAGTGAGAAAGATTTGGAATTTGGAAAACACTGAAATTTAACTTTTCTTGAACATTGACTAGTCACAGACTAATTTTAGACTTGTCTGTATCATTTTGTTAGAAATAATACTTCATATCTGCAAAAATATTGTGCATTTATAGATAATGTAGATGTATTAAGGCTTCTCTCTATGCCACTCTACTTGGGTCCATATGTCTTGCTTTTTCTCTCCAACTATTAAAATAATTTGTCTACCTGCAGGTGTGAGTCACACCGGTAGAACTCTTAGGATTTGGCTTAAATATTACAGTTGTCAAATGGAAGAAACCAGCAAGATATGGGCAGTGGAATGAGAGAGAAAGAGCTCCATTTTGTTCTGATTTCAGAAAGAATATTTTTACGTGGCTGCATCACCAAGGAAAACATTATGGATGTGTTTGTTATTAATTGCTAGTCTTTAATATTACTTAGATAACAGTAGTCACTACACTAAAAGAGTTGCTGATGCAGGCAATGAATCACATGATAATCTGCACAAAATGTAAATATGTCATTAATAAATTGTCTTCATTAATTTGCTCTTCCCCCAAATCCAGATCCAGCTGAACAAAGATGTGGCAGAGTTAGATTTCAAAGTATGTTTCTTGCATCAAATGTGCTATAAAACAAAACATCTATCCATTTTAACTTGCAAATGTTCGGAGTTTCACCTACCAAAAAGAATGTGTAGTTTATGATGTTGTTGTTGACTGCGAAAAATTATTTCTAAGGTCATTGACAATGGGTTGTTCTAAGGTTGTTGAACAAATCCAAATTTTCAAGGTTTTCAAACAGGGAATATAGTATCTTAAGTAAAGAGCATAGCTTCTCACACTTTTAGTTAAGACTTGACAATAGCTTTGGTTTCTTATTGCTTAAAAATGTGAAAGACATTTATAATATTACAGGAGAACTTTCACCTATTTAAATCCAGTAAACAAAAAATAACTTTTAGAATACAGTAATGAACAGCATAGGAAGGTGTTTTATTAATTGCATCAATTTTTTCAAGTGACAAGTGGTTGAATTTTTGCATGTTTATGGCAATGGGTGCATACGTATTTTGCAGTTCATAGTGTTGCATTTTAGAAAATTGTTAAAATGACTGAAATATCTTTACTTATTGAATTCTCTGGATTTTCACATCAAGACATAATATAGGGCCAGGAATTTAGCTCAGTAGTACTGTGCCTGCCTTGAAAGTGCAAGGTCCTGGGTTCAATACTCAGTACCAAAACAAAACAACCCCCCCCCCCCAAAAAGCATAATTATATAGTTCATGGGCATGTGAACTCTGACTTTCCTTTAAAGAGTTGCTTTGTAATTAGAACGGTTGATTGTTTAAATTGTTTCTTGGATGATTTTTCTCATTAGATGAATTTCTAGCCATTTATAATCCCCTTTTCCCTTTATGTAATTTAGAAATCATCTCATGAGAGTGTAAGAGAGGATTAGTTGCACGTCCATTCTTTCATGCTGCCCTCTGTCCTTTGCTCTGCCTGTGTGTGCTGCTGTCCTCCAATACAGCAAGGTCATCTCAAGGCCATCTCTCTCTCTCATGGCCAGCTGTAGGCTGCTAAAATTTCTGGCTGAGCCAACGGATTTTGTTTTTCACAGGAAATATAGAGTTCCTTTAGATATGGCTCTATATCTGTTCAGAACTGGCCTAGGAAGGCAGCTGTGTAGGATTGAACTTCACGGTTATAATATGTCCCAGCCATGAGACCTAGCTACTTTCATAATATGATATTTGGAAATTTGTTGCACAATTGACAATATAGCACTTCCCATGACATCTAGGAACTAAAGAAACAGTGGTAATTTTGATTTAAGTCCAAGCAGGAACTACTTCAATAAATTTAGCCTCGAGATAATTTTGTTTTAGTTGCAAAAAAGTTGATTCAAGGCCAAAGCACAAGGGAGGGAGATTTGGAGAGCTCTTCTTTGAACAATCTTCTAAGGCTGTAAATTGTCTGTTGCCTTTCCTTCCCCATTCATTAGTGTGCCCATGCTGAAGTTTCATCCTTTGAGTTTTTGCATTTTCTCTGTGTCATAATCAGGTTTCTTTTTATATCAAGCATTAATGTTGAATAATTCAGGAAAGGAATATGTTACTGATATGGAAATTATAGTACTGTTCTTTGAGTATTATATAATAGTATTATTATGCATTTGTCCCAGAAGTACTAGTACCTTTCTGTTTTTAAATAAAAATGTGAAAGAAGTATTATACGAATTGATATAGAAGCGAAATCATAAGTGTATCACTGTACAAAATGGTCCATGCTCCTGGTCTATGCTTAAGTACGAATTCACTAGTTTATCTAATTTCATTTTAGCTAATTATCACCTTCATTAAATTACTCTTCCATTAATTACTCTTCATTAAATCACCCAAAGTGCCATGCACCTCTCCACAGAGAATATCAAGATAGAACTGACACCGACTCTACCTTATTTTATGTTGTCACACGAGGGTGAGTCATTCTGTTA